GTGCAAGTACAACTTTTGTAAATTATCTCATTTCGTATTTTCCTTTTTCAGGATTTCGAATGTTTAGAAATTCCAAAAAAGGATTGAAAAAAGTAAACAAGTGCGGTCGAAATCTATAAAACAAGAAGAGTTAGGGTTTTTGTAATTAGTAAACCAAAAAAGCCGAATCCCCTTAAGAAAAATATTCTAGTATTGCAATGGAAAGTGGCGGTACTAAGATGAGACGAGATCACAGTCGTTGCCTGGTTGGGAAATTCATGAATTCACCAGTGACCATAGACGAGGAACTAAAAAACGAACTGCAGAGCAATTGGAGCTTTTGTGAGAGTCTTTGATGTGTTCCCATTGGACCACGGTTTGATTTTGGTTGAGTTCTTACTGAAGAGAGACATGGAAGCAGTTGCAGAGATAGTAATCTGGGTGGCCAAAGGCGAAGTTCTATTGGTCAAGGAATGGCCATCGGTAGGCTTTGTGGCTGAGATCGACTTCTCGATGATTACCTTGTGGGTTACGGTAAAAGGCTTGCCCCTATCCCAATACACACAAGAAGAAGCTCGACGCATTGGCAAAAGGCTTAGTAGTAAACCACTTAAGGAAATAACCATTGATCCTTCCAGAAGACACTTCATTGTCCGTGCCGAGATTGATATTGGAAAACCCTTAAATCCTGGCTATTTCATCCGCAAACAACGTAAGCCAATCTTTGTTCTGTTTAAGTACAGATATGCTGGCAAATTCTGCAAATGGTGTGGTAAGGTTGACCATACCATGTGTGCGAAATCCCCTGAAGAGAGGCCTCTAACTCGTAACATCAAGAGGGCCATGTATGGTAGATGGATGTATGATGTGGAGTACGAACCAGCTGATGATGTGAAATTGGAAATTGAGTTCCCAGAGAAACTGGTGGAAGATTGGTCAGAGTTGGAGGAGACAGTCCCCTACCCACAGTTCTTCATAAACCTTGAAGTTTCTTATGTTTGTGGAAGCGACCATGAGTGGCGCGGAAAGAAACTGCTTCGATATCATTTAGAGGACATTATTGAACACAGTTTCCGATTTCCAACATCCTATCTCACAACCACACTAGAATCCAACGATGATCCTTACCAAATTTTGGCCCGTGAGATGGACGAGAATGTTCCACTGGTAGGTTTAACATTTGAGGACAAGGTGGAGATTGTTAGCAAGTTTGTAGATTACACAATGAAGAGCAAGGAGATTTGGTCAAGGCGGAGATGGGTTCAAGTCAAAGTTTGTGTGATCAAAACAACCAAAATGGTATCATGCGTTGATTTTCAGACAATGCTTCAAGAAAACAAAGAAAGGAATATCATCGTGAGCTTGAGCATGAGATAAGGGAGATGATCCAAAGACGTGTCGACAGGAACGAGGACATAGAGTCACTGGCGTTGTGGAGGATATGCATTGAATATGTGGTGGGGAACGACCAATTAATGTCTTCCAATCTGGAAAATAGATGCATAAAGGCTAGGAAAGAGGCGATTGAATACGGCATCTCCTTATGTAGCATCTTGGAACCAGTAGATAAAATGGAGAAGAGAAAGGTAAGTGGGCACGAGATGGATCAATGCGCAATCTGTGACGAGGAGATGTTCCTTGGAGAGGAAGCAACACGTATGCCTTGCTCTCATGTCTTCCATGCTGCATGCATCGATTCCTGGCTTAATATAAACTATACATGTCCTCTTTGCCGACACAAACCCGCACAACAAGAGAGGCCCTGTCCAGACCACCTTATGATATACCACCTCCTCAAACATCGTTACCTTTGATGTCTACTGATTTATGCAACTGTCGCTCTCTAGTCTCTTTAAGAGAATACAAAATAGACATTGTTTTCTTTTCTTTTCTTTTGATGGGCTCTTAATGCAAGGAAATTGAATTGTTAACTTTATAAAATGTGGCTTTCTCTATTAACCATATTTCTGAATTAATCATACCCGGAAAACAAAATTAGAGAGGAAGAAGGAAACAAAATAACATCTTCGTCCCACAATAAATTATATGGATACAAGCAAGAAGGAAAACAGATGGGTCATATTATTATTGCTTCAGGCTTATGTTCGGGCAAATAATCCATTCCCCTGCAAAACAATCTACATAACTAGCAAGTGCAAACTTAACTTGGCAATTTCAAATGCAAACTTCACTGCTTACTTAGGCCTTTTCTGTCTAGATATTGTCGAAGATCTACCTACAAATAAGCAGAAAATCATTCATAACTTAAATGCATATGAGATTATTTCATTCGATGCAAAGGAGAATTTAAGCATCTTCATAAAAATCCATCATATCTAACAAACTGTACAAGTAGTATCAAAATGGTAAAAATAAAGGTGATGGCTTGTTAAAATGCTTGTATATTTTCTCAACCCATAATTTTCAGCATGCTTATTGGATTGTTCAATTGGTAATGTTTCTAAGATGATAATCTATAGATCTAGAGACGCTGGATATCCTTTGAACATGGCTATACCGAAAAAGGTACCATAAGTTAACTCAATACTCTGTGACAGTTATTCGGATGGCGTACATGCTGAAGCAGTGGACGTTCATCTTTAAACTCATTCCTGGATACCAAGAGGATATGAAAACCATTAGCGCAAGATTGTGTTGATACTAGAAGAGAATAAATAGAGTCAACTTACATCATGTGCTTTCTAACATTTTCTCTCCAAAGGTTTTAGCAACCACCTCAAATCCGTGCAATGAAGCCTTCTGAAACATTTCAGCAAAATTGTATAGCTAGATAAACCAAGGCTGAATCTCACACTCTGGAACTTCTTTAGCAATCTAATATAACAAAACAATAAGTATTAGCATATAGTAACATAAACTGCACTCTGATTCTCCAAAAAAAAAAAAGAAACGATTATTTTGGTCCAAACTGTGATTGATTGCATGTCTCTGCAGAATCTATCGGGGAAAAGCTACATAATACGTCCAAATTTACTTTCCTATGAGTGGCCTTTTTCGTAAGTTTAAGTTTAACAAAACGTTTGTGCAATCATGTTTTTAGCAAATTAAAGTCTACTCTAAGGGTTTTATTTTGTATTGCCTTATTTTATCTTTTTCTGGTGACTTCGTACTTAGTGTCCCACTTTATATTAGGGACATAACATCAGTCTATCAATTATTCTTTTCGTCAAGAATTGAGTCATTACTAGATGAACATTATTTAATTAGTTACCAATTAGTTTAGTTAAATTTGGGTCACTGTATTTGAAGATTTGAAAAGGTTGGTTGATTAATAAAACAAAGCAAAAGGCTCACAGTATAAGTTAATTAAGAACAAACATTTCGTATTTTATTAGAGCCAAATGTAATGTTTCCAAGTTCAAAACCATACAATAAACTGATTTATATCAGTCATGAAGCAACCATATATGTAGCTAAGTAATCCAGTTGATATGTCCAAAGTTCAGAGGTCAGAGTACCTTTTGTACATTATTACTATGCAAAGTGAAAAGACAGACTTAGTACCTTTGTTTAACCGAGCAATCTAGAGATTCTTCAGGTTCCCAATGTAATTTGCTTCGAAGTTTTCAGAAGAACTA